ATTTTAATATACCCACTAACAACTAACCATCTAACTTTTTTCAAAATGAACCAATCCAAACCAAAAAATCCAAACAAATCCAAATTTTTTTTATCCAAGCATCCCCTTAAAGATTTTTTATGTTAAATCGTAGGATCATTAATGTTCACTATGTTTTGTGGATTATAATTGAGATGATTGTGTTGACTTTTGTAATATTGCAGTTGTGACCATTTTTTCATTTGAATTTTACTAGATACCGAAACTGGTCTACCAAGAAGTTATCGAGGATTCAAGGTTTCAATATTCAGAAGCTGATCAGAGGTTAAGCAGAGACTCGTTGAAGAAGTTGTTCAACATATTCTCCCCAGAAAATATTTACAAGTCTGCATTTCAGCAAGACCACATTTTAGATGGTAATTCTGGACGAAGTGGTACATTCGGATTCTCCCGGTTTATTGATTTATCACCATCAGAGGTTTCGTTCTTGGCAAATAGGACTTTTATGGAGAGGATATTGTTCTCGGTTATGAGGTCTGATCTCCAGTTTACTGATGGAATATTGGATCTTATGATGGAGAGCGAAGATGTTGATATCCAATGTGCTCGTATTGGAAAGGAAAAGGTTAGGGCAGTCACACGAATGCTTCTACTGCCAAGCAAGTCCCAGTCAGATTTATTAAGAAATAGGCTCCCAACGGGTCTCACAGATGCTCCATTCGAGGCTCTAATCATGTCTTATCAGGATAGGCTTCTATCCGATGTCAATCTTTTGCACTCAATATATTCTTTCATCCCAACAACTCGAGCACCTCCAGTAAGTGCTAATCTGGTGTTCATTATAGCTTTGGCTTTTTTTTTTCCTTCTTTTAACTATGTTTCTTTTGAGATGATTTCAGTAACTGCCTCAGATTTGGGATAATTTGAAAAAAAAAAAGAAAAAGAAAAACATTTTTAAAAATATATTATTCAGATCCTTGAGAGTTGATGTGATTATGTCCATTTCATTCCAAAAAGAAAAGTGAACAACCCCCAGGCCCAGCAGTTCACGTGCACAGAACTTAGAGTGTGTTTGTTTACCAGTTATTCTCATACTCAATTCATACTCAAAATATAACTCAATCCTCTCCTCAATATTATCAATATAATTAGATAATACCAACCGATCATTCGTACATATCACATCAACTTTAATCCATTATTCATTCACTCACATAATTTTAACTAACCTTCACTTCACATCATCTTTCTCCTACTTTTACATTAAATCGACTTTAATTATTTTATTTTAAATATTATTTTGATATAAACTCAAAATTCCACTAAACAATTAACCATACCAACTTTTTCAAAATTAACTATGATTAACAAAAAAACTCGTTTTGAGCGGATATATTTGTATAGTTATCCATTCTCTTTTTAATTTGTTTATTTTGAGAACCTAGTTATAACTTAACATGTACACTGAATTTTTTCTTTGCGTACTGTATTTGGCTATTAGATAAATCTTCACTGTTCGGATAGAAACTTTGCATATATGATGACCGAGGAGTGGCATAATCCCTGGCTCAAGAGGTTGTTGGTTGGATTTGCCCGTACATCCGATTGTAATGGCCCGAGAAATCCATTAACCACTCATCATTTAATACAAGAGATTGATGCCGAGTTACCCGTTTCACAACCGGCTCTTCAGCTTACATATAAGATCTTCGGTTCTTGTCCGCCCATGCAACCGTTTGACCCTGCAAAGATGCTTACGGTTTGCTCTCTTTTTTATTGCATTATTTGTTAAATGTATGCCTATGATTTTATTTATTTATTTTACTTTTTGTTATGTCATTTCAGGATTCGGGGAAGCTTCAAACTCTTGACATACTGCTAAAACGTTTACGTGCGGGGAATCACCGTGTACTTCTTTTTGCGCAAATGACGAAAATGTTGAATATCCTTGAGGTATATCTATCTCGTTTTCATTAATAGTGATCAACAACAATAAGGAAAAGAATGTAATATTGGCATAATCCTCTCATATGAGCTGGGACTAGTTTTAATTTATTTATTCTAGACCGCCAAAATTATTTCTCACTTTCTTTGCAGGATTATATGAATTACAGGAAGTACCGTTACCTGAGGCTCGATGGATCGTCCACAATAATGGATCGTCGGGACATGGTGAAAGATTTCCAGCACCGGTAACTGCTCGTTAAATTATTCGTGATTTTTTTTTTTCTTTTTCCCTTGGAATTATGTGCATATTTCCAAAGATTTTTGCCTAATTTTGTTCAGGAGTGATATCTTCGTGTTCTTATTGAGCACGAGAGCTGGAGGGCTTGGAATCAACTTGACTGCTGCTGACACTGTTATATTTTATGAAAGCGACTGGAATCCAACCTTGGATTTGCAGGCCATGGACAGAGCTCATCGTCTCGGTCAAACTAAAGATGTAAGTTTCTCTCTCTCTCTCTCTCTCTCTCTCTATATATATATATATATATAGTTATGTATATATAAGTTCTTCTGGATTTTTGCAATATTTTTGTATCCTTGATTCCAGTATCGCCTTTTTATTGTGTTATTTTCTTTATATATATATATATATTTTTAATCGTGTAGGTAACTGTGTACCGATTGATATGTAAAGAGACGGTGGAGGAGAAAATTTTGCAGAGAGCAAGCCAGAAGAACACTGTGCAGCAGCTTGTCATGACTGGCGGCCATGTTCAGGGCGATCTTTTGGCTCCGGAAGATGTCGTGTCATTATTGATTGACGATGCTCAGTTGGAACAGAAACTAAAAGAAGTTTCGCAACAGGTGAGGAAAATTGAATTTAGACCCCCCCCCC